TTCTTATTTGTCAAAACATCGAAGTATTTTGATATTTTAATAACTTACAAGCAGGCTTTTTTTTCTTATTGATCAAAGTCCATTAGAGTATTAAACATGTTTCATTTACAATTAATCTTAATAATAACTAAAACACCAATGGCAACATCCGTTTAAGAATATTTTTTTTTTACATTTATTTATTCTTTATGTAGCCAACTCTATTCAAGATATATCACAATCATAGATATTTACAAACGATTACAGAAATTTTCAGCCTCGTCAACAATTTTAGTAAAATTTGCATTTCGGGTCCAAAGCCATGTTGATCTAAGAAGGCAGCTGGGTCTGAACTTAACTTCACATCGCACGTGTAACTCAAGCTTTATTTGAATTTTTAGTCCTACTTCTCATCATCAATTTCCATAAAAACTCTTTATTTTTATGAATACTTTGTACATTGTGTAGCGCTCAGCAGAACACTACATCTAGAGTATGATGTAAATTCATATTGTTGAGCAAAACATTCTTTTGATCATCATTATGTCATTATCTTACTGAGCAGAATCTTTAAGTTATAGTTCAATCTAATTGCATACTGTTGAGCATGATGTTGTGCACCAAATATTCATAGAAATATAAGTTTTTACAGAGATAACTGACGTAAACTAAAGCTTAGATAGAAATTCCTGAGGGGTTTAATATTCACACCAAAAAATTATAAAGGCATTTTCAGTCTGGCAGAAAAATCCTAAGGATAAAAATTTCATCATTTAATTTACAAGATAAAAGAAAAACGTTGCGATTAATCATAGTAGAGTTTATAGAGCATTAGGTACAGACTGTTTTTTGTGTACAAAAAAACAAGTACAAACAATATTAAAAAATTAATATAAATAAACGAAGATAATCCTTTAATTATTTCAACAATTAGTAAAATCTATTCTTGTTCATCTTAAAAAATATTTAATCAAGATTAATTAAAATAATAAATTTTCATCATTAAATTTATCATTTTATTTCTTTAATATAACATTTATTGAAACTACATTAGAGTATGTGAATTTTTTAAAAATACATTTTTCAAAGTCAATTTTATTCATAGGAACTATTGACAAACTTAGCTATAAAACATTGATACCTTTTTCAAAGAATATGATGTGATTTTTCATGTAATAATCTTCAAACACAGAGCGTTGTAGTATAGACTCAAATGTTATTACAATATGCGAATAAAAATGGCAATTTAGGTCTCATATAATTATTATAAAACTTTAACTACTTCTGTAAAAGTCTCTATTACAAAACTTTAATTTAGAAACTAGGTTTTCAAATGTTACATTAGACGATGTAAATGTCATCTGCTCCATTGCATTTCTTTATGTGCATCAATCAATACTGATTACTTTTTTTTTACGTTGAGAAATCTGTTCAACTAGTTTTTTATTTACTATTCTGTCATCATGTTTGAATGATTACATTGTTTGATATGTTGTCAATAAACATTGCGTTCAAATCTTGGTACATAGTGGTGACATAAACCTGTCTGTTGTAACTAATATGTTAGTGCGAGTGTGTGCAGAGAACTGAAGCGATTTAGCGTAAGAACTCTGCATCAGGCTGACTTTCTTGGACTGACAAGGTGATAATTATCAAGAAGACACATGTTGGTTTTACATACATTGCATATTTTAATAATAGAATTGTAAAGAACGAATAATCTAATCGAATATTCATTTATAAACTTAAATTATATTATAGTACTATCAGTATCCATATTTTTGATATAAGTCATTATTTATCTTAGTACTCAATCATATTGAATTAGTTGTATCTCATTTGTATTGTCATAATTTGCACTTGTAGAAATATTCTTGCATTGTACTGACTATTCATAGGATAATCAGTATATCAATCGAATAGAAACACGATTAATGTTTTTATTGATTAAAAAAAAAAAAGTGTTTTATAATTCTTTGTCAAACTAATTCAATTGCTATATTGTTAATTAAAGATATGAAATGATTGGAAATAGTAATTAAATTAACTCAAAATACTAAAAGTAGTTGGTATAATAATGATGAGTGAATCATTAAGAATTCAATAGTGACAAACTTGAAACTTGAGTTCAATGATTGAACAACTCTTCAAATATTCAATTATTTAGTTCATTGTGTTTGTATTTTCTATGTTACTCTCAATCACAGAAAAATAATATTTGAACCTCAAGTTTGACATATATATATATGTCAATTTCGATGATTATTCACAAGACGAATGCACAAAATAGTTGTATACCATTTAAGTTTGAGTTAATCTATGTAATTGATAGTAATATACTACTAATACCTAGTGTACAAAATTAGCTTTCTGTTTTTGACAAAAAAGTTTATAGTGTCCTCTATGATCTTCTTGTCTAGTAAACAATCGAAATTTTCATGTAATATCACAATACATTTGTTGTTTTGACAGATAATTTTCTTGTCAATATAAATTACTTTTGATATGTAGACTATTTTATCTTCATCATATTGTTTTTTTGTCAAAACGAAAAGCAGATAATTAGAAGAGAGTAGAGCAAATTAATGATACTAGTTGTACTGATTAACTTTTTCTTTATTAATCAATTGTTCACAATAATATCAATGCACTTAAATTAGAATAGATTTAATTATTGATATCTATTGTTTTTTTTTTCGGTTATGTCTGAAGTAGTTTTTTTATAAGATTGAATTATGTACAACTTTGTACAGAAAAAAACAATATTCGAACACAACTTTTTTTCTTGTTGCCATGCACGAGAAAAATCAATCATAGATCGAACTTAAGTTCTATGATCTTTTCAATTTAATCAATTAATAAGCTATCCGAAACTCACTTCGACTGTTAATTTTTTTCGTTCATTGCTTGTGAGACCTAGAATAATAATACTTTGTACAAGTGAATACATACTCTTGGCTAAATAGGAATAAACATAAGTAAAAATATTATTTAATGTTTGATCAACATTAATTATATATAATATCGATTTACAATAATTGTCACTACTGTCAATATTTAGAGAAAAAAAAATAATCTAGAACATCAAGTGAAATTAGAATATGTTATTTTGTATGATAAATCGACACTTCATGAGAGTCCTAAGATTGGAGGAATGTAAGAGAAAGCCTGTCGAACATAAAAGTTCTGGACTCGCCTTCGAACCATATTCATAAATTTAACAAATAGTACAAGTGTAAGTCTGACAGTTGCTCGAAAAATAAAAGATACACTTTAATGATTAGTTGTATTTTGCTACTAACACATTCCACACATGTATTAAACAATCTTGATAATGATGTAATAATAAGCAAAATATAATTAGCTGTTACTTTTTGAGTATTAAGTAAAATATTTGTAATGATGAAAAAACTTTCGAAATCAAGATGTTTTCTATTTTAATAAAGTCATTATCAATCGTAGTAAATTGTTTGACTTAGAAAGAAGTCTACTAAAGAAAACCAATATTTAACTTTGATTAACATTGATATAACTGAACTTTAGTATACTCTTCTCTCAATCAATTAATGATGAACGTAGTTACCAAAACTTTTCATATTTATTAAAAGAAGTTTTCAAAGACTGAATTTTAATTGTAAAACATTTCATAAGATCCGAAGTTAGTTTGATTAGCAAAATATTGTTTTACAAGCCTAAATATTTGATATACTCATTTACACTTAAACTAACAACTGAAAAGATTTAAGTTTGGTATATACATAATTTCGATAGTCTTTGCATATACGTATATCTACTTACCAACATGTTTTAGATGTTTTTCTCTAACCTGTAATTCTAACATTGATTCTTGATAAGTTAGAAAAAAAAATACAATCGAATTCTGTTCAACGTTCTTCATATAATCAAATTCATAATTATAATATGATTTATTATTCTACATTATTAAATTCAAATATTTAATTACAATTTAATTAGAGTATATCACGTAAAAATTCTTTTCATTCAATTATACAACTATATTGAATTTTTTTTTGTCTATACAAATATCCCAATTGTATAACAGCAGGATATCCACAAATCGAGAATAATAATTTTCAGTACTCATATTCAAATAAAAACATTTCAATCTATGCAACTAACCATTGACATCGTGCCTTTTTTATTTCAAGTAAAAAAAAAAAAACAGAATAAATCAAATATATAATCGACTCATTTATTCGATCGATGAGTAAGAATAAAAGCCGAAAGCAAATCATAGAAAAAAAAAGAAAAAATTTCTCGATTATTTGTCAAATTTTATATATAAATACGAACAAACAATATATATATGCATATATTATATAAAAAAAACTCAAAGTGTTAAATCAAATATTGATTAATGGATACGACAAAAATATCAAAAAAAACAAGAAAAGAGATTATCTTATACAACATAAAATATAAAATTTAATTTCAATTTTCGAAAATTTGTTACTATAGTTACATTTTTTTTTTTCTTTTTCATTTAAGTTTAATTTTAGTTCAAAAAAAAAAAAAAAAAAAATTTTTAAAAGAAAAAAAAAAATGAAAAAAAATCATTTTATTTTATTTTATTAAAATCAAATAAAAAAAAAAAAAATATTTTTCTTTACAGATGTCACTAAATCCTTATTTTTGATGGATAGTATTTGAATCCATTGTTTCGGAAGACGAGAGAGAGAAAAAGAAATGAAAATAAATCGCGAACAAACGAGAATTGAGAGAGAAAGTGAAAGCGAACAGGGTTAGTAGTCGAGTGATTGACTGACGGCAGGTTGGACGGACAAAAAAAAAAGCCTAAAAAAAAAAAAAAGAACGCGAAAAAGATTTAAATTTTCTATCTATACACATACACACATAACTATCGTTCGGTCGGCACGGACAGCACAACTGCACATACTCGCGCGTTTTCTTTGTTACTAATAATGAGATTTGCCTTTTTTTTTTTTTTTTTTTTTTGTTTTTATTTAAAGATTTAATTTTTATTTTGTTTCTGTTGCTTTATGGATGATCCATCGTTATTACCGTTTTTAAATAATAATGGTAATGGACATCATTATTCAATTAATATGGATGATGATATTGAACATGAAGAAGATGAATTAGATGAGGATGATGATGAAGGAGAAGACGATGAGGATGAAGTTGATGATGATGATGATGATGATGCTAATCATGTTGAAGAAGATATTTTAGAAAATTTTGAACAAATTCAACAATATCCTGAAGATGAAATTGATGAAGATGAAATTGAAGAAGATGATATTGATGATGAAGAAAATCAAGATGAACAAGAAATTCTTTTACCAGAAAAACAATCATCATCATCACCATCAATATCATCTCAACAACAACCAATACAAAATGAACGTGGTGGACGTCGAAAAGGTGTACCACGTCGTTTACAATTATCTCCACAAATAATAAAAACTTCACAACAACGTTTATTACCATTATCATTATCAAAATCTTCATTAAATAGTGTTCATCATCATGAACAATCAATATTAACATTTGATCAAGAAGATATTAATGAAAATCATTCGAATGATTATTATCAAGATAAACAAGAAAATTGTTTACAATTAGATTTATTAATACATAATAATCAAGATAATTATGATGAAAATAATAATTATAATGATGATGAAAATATTTTAGAAATTGTTGATGATATTTTAGCAGATATTGTTACAAAAATTGTACAAGATATAAGACAAGAAAAACAAATAAATTTTAAACAACAAATAATTAATAGTAAAACTAATGGATATTTAAATCATAAATTATCAACAAATAATTTAAATAAATCATTACAAAAACAAGAAAAAAAAATTACAAATGGAAAACATAATAATAATAATAATGATTTTATTCAAACAAATAGGTAAATTTTAATTGAATTTAAACTATATTAGTATTAGAGAAAAACAGTATGAATCTTATTTCAACATGGTTATTCGATATTAACATGTAGATAAGAATTTTATAATCGAAGAATGTCACTATGAATTAAATTTGATTTTATCACATAAAAATTGTTCAAATCGTGAGAATCTATCCAGAAGGGATTAATGCGTATCAATCTTTTTATATTTCATACTAAGTCGTAATTCGCATAATATCTGAAAAATATGTTAGACCAATGTTTTTTTTTTTTTTTTGAACTCTTTCCATTGATTTCATATACACAATATTTCGTAGATCAATTCGATTAGAATTTGAAATATTTACTAATCAAATGAACTTTTAAACTTATGAATAATCAAATTGAATTTAATGCTAAACAGAAAACTTAACTATACATTGATTGTATAAACTGTAAAGTTTATTTTCTACAAAACTACTTATAGAAAGAATCCATATAAGAATCTTATATGTATTTATCAACGAAACTTTCTATGGTTTTTTTTTTGTGTAATAGTAAAAAGAAAAAGTTTTGTTTGTCAATTGATGTAAATGAAAAAAAAAAAAAATGAAAATGTTTACGTATTTAGGATAAAATCTTTGAAATCTCAATCTCAACAATCTTTATCATCATCATCATCGTCATCATCAAAAATATCTGATTCATCAATATTATTTAATGAATTTACTAAAATGATGCATTTAAATTCTCAACAACAATTAGTCAAACATAAACATTCATCATTTTCATCACCACCATCAGTTAAACGACAAAAAACATCTGAAACATTATCATCATCTCAACCAACAACACCATTATCATTACAACAACAACATCAACAACTTCTATGGCAAATGACACAACAATTAATGATGTCAACACAATCAAATGATACAGATACATCATCTTTACTTAAGCAACAATTACTTGGTTTAACACCACCAGGTACAATACCTAAACGAGTTGGTCGTCCACCAAAACAACAACAACAAACACAACCACAAATAATGCGTTCAAGTACAAATATGATTCCACCAACATCTCATTCATCTACAAATACTTCACCATATGAACGTGGAAATTTTGCACCTAGACGTCGAGGTCGACCACCAAAATATGTTACTGAACGTGGAATTTTACCTGGTCTATCTTCACATGATCTTGATCCATCATCATATGATCAATTATTTGCTGCTATTGAAAATAGTGTTACTGGAAATTCTCCACGTACATCATCTGCAGCATTTCAATCAGCATTAGCATCTATGCTTGGACATCAATCTAATTTATCAATACCACCGCCTATACCTCCTTCAGCTGTAAGAAAGTAAGTAAAAAAAAAAAATTTTTTTTTTTTTTTTTGTTAATTTTGATAAAAAAACGAATATTGTTTAGTGGTACACCAGCATCAATGGTTAAACAGTCAGCTGGTCAAACACGTCATAGTTTACCAGCATCATCAAATACTTCGAAATTATCACATGTATTAGGAGGAACAGGTAATGGACTTGATATACCATTAATGGCAACAAAAAAACGTGGTCCTGGTCGACCACCGAAAAGTCAAATGTTACTTGATTCTCATCAAGTTTTACAAGCAACTAAACGAATGAATTCATCTTCATCATTATCAAATAATACTAGTAATAATAATAATAATAATAATAATTTTCCATCAACAATGGTTCCGTCATCACCAACTTCCTTTAATTTAAATGCTGCTTTTGTTGATATGTTACAACAACAACCACATCCACATTGAACAAAAAAAGAATAAATTAACTGATAATATTTTCGTCTTTTTTTGGTTTTTTTTTCTTTTGAATTTAACGACGTGCGCGTGCTTCCATTTAGTCTCCGTCCTTATCATTATACATTCCTCAGATATTTGTCTCGTGTTTTTTTTTGACCATTCCATGGTTTCTGTGTTGCCAGATCTTATTATGTAGAATAGTGTCTTCTTTTTTTTTTTCGTGTGTCATTATATGTCTGTGTATCTATGATTTCTGTTTTTTTTTGTTTTCATATGATGATCAAAATTAGTCCCGAGTTGCATTTTTTCTTTTTCATTTGTCTGATTCTTTTGAATGGTTGCTAGTGTGTGTACACTGTCCCGTGTGAAAATGATACAAAATGAAAAACAAACAAACACAAAACGGCGCCGTCCTTTACTATCGATTTGATAGTACTAAGTATATGTATGTTTGTGTAAATATAGAAAAAAAAAAAGATTTTCTTTGTCTGTCTATTATTATTATTATTATTATTATTATTATTTCTGCCTATTATTTACTCAATTTGTCACTCCCCCGTCACGTACACATTGTGGTGTTTTTTTTCTTTTTCTTTCTTTTTTTGTGTTCTTTTGTATTATATAAGAGAAACAAAGAAAGAATTAATATCACGAAGTATATATAGTATATAAATTTTTGATTTATTATGAAACGTTTGAATAAACCGTCTTGAACGATAAATTATATTTGAATGTAATTCATTATTGAAAAAAAATAACAAAAATGAAGTATTATTACAATATGAAATTTATTTAATTTTTTTTTTCTTTTTGAAGTTAAAGATTTTCTATGTAATGTTTGACAAGTATAAATGTTTTCTTGTGTTGAGTTTATATTTTCATGATGAGAAAAAATTTATTTCTTTTAAATCAATCATCATTAAATTTATATCTATGTCAAAAAAAAAAAAACAAAACTAATTTACATTAAACATAAAAAGAAACTAGAAATCAATTATCATAGATTTTTATAACAGTGTAAAATATGATATTTCTTTTTTATTCAAATGAAAAATCATATATGCATTTTTTTTATATCATGAAAAATAAATAAAGATGAAAATCCTTGAATGTATTTTTTCTTCACTTAATCATTATATAAAAAGAAAGAGAAAGGATATTAACACATTCAACTTATGTTTAAAGAGAAACATAGTATCATAATATATTTCAAAAAATGCTTAATAAATCGAATTTTATCCCTGAGACATACACCTGTCCACCTACATAGACGTGCTTCTTATATACTATAAAATTCTCAATTATTAAATAGTATATATTTGCCTTCTTCTCATGTCACTCATTAATAATTCAAATATTAAGTGAACAAATCGATGAAATAATTTGAAAATAGAAAAAAATTTGTCTCGTAAGAACTCTAATGTAAGTTAATCTTAAGAAAAGATTTATATAGAAAACTAATAATCGAGAAACTAATTGAATTTTAGTAAATTAAGATGGGTCTATACATTCGTCTGCCTAATTAATTTTTTTTGTTTCATATAATTTTTATTATGCCTGCAACGAAATTTTAGGAGAACTATTTCGTCAGAAAACTCTGAAATTTTCAGGACAGATATAATCTCGATAAATAAGACAAAAATTTGTCATACACTCTAAAATGGATGAGAGAAGAAGCAGCTTTCTTAACAATTTAGATTTACAAAAAAAACAGAATAACAATCATCTATCTATATACCGAAACATGTTTCATATCAGAACTTTAGGAAACTCTTTGACGTCAATGCCCACACAATGAGTATCTCATGGAAAGAGTTTGTTATAAAATTTTTAATTGCATGATACATGAATAGTTGTATCTGTTTAAAGACAAGACGAACAGCAAAAAAAAGAAAAAGAAGTTGAAGAAGAAGAAATTTCAAACAGCGAGGAAAATTTGACATTTGCATTTGTTTTTTGCTTCCATACTATTTCAGTTTTTTTTCTTTTCATCGATTGTAATCAATTATAACTAATTTTTTTTTCATAAAAAAAAAAAACAGAAATGGAACCAATGAGCATTCATAACAATAATGAAAAACGAGTTGTTTCATTTTTTATATGGGTATGTAATAAAATGAAAAGAAAAAAAGGAAAATAAAACTAATTTGAAATAAAAACTTTCTATACAATAAAAAAAAAAAAAAATAAAGGATCCTGAATTAGAACGTAAAATTGATTGTGAAGTCAAGATGATAGATGGAATTAGTAAATTACTTAATGTGGCTACAACACTTGAACAAACAATTGAATGTCATAAAGCTCTTGTTCTTTCTCAACAACGTATGTTAGCATTTATGAATGAAATACAAAGAAAACAAGAAAATTTACTTAAACGTGATAATATGAAGTATGAAGAATTAATTTATTTTGTTTATTAGATTTTTTTTTAAATTTCCTTTTCGAAGTCTTGAACCAACAAAAGCAACAGTTATTCTATCTGATATTCGTTTACCATTAATATGGACAACTATGAAAGCAAAATCAGGTAGAAGTTTTATTAAAAAAAAAAAAATTTTTTTTTGTTTTTTTTAATGAATAAATTTTATATACGAAATTTAGAAAAAAAAAAATTTGCTGTTTTTTGTTTGGCACGTATTGGATGTGAAATAATTGATACAAAAATGAAATCTATTGATAAAAAATCAACTGAAATACTTTTTACAGATAAATTAATTTTGTAAGATTTATAATATATTTATTTAAATTCATTGTTATTATTTGTATTTAGTAAGAATATTTCACATGATTTTCAATTATATTTGGAAGTTTATGCATTAAATAAAAGTCTTACTTTATCATCATCAGTAAAAGATTTTGCTAATCGTTATAGTTATTATTCTACATATGGTAAATCATATAAATTAACACGAAAAATCAAAGAAATTAATTCAATAAATGTAAGAATATTTAAAAAAATATTTTTAATTTGAATAGAAAAAGAAAAGAAAATTTTAGCATAAATCATCTGTTCAACAACAATCAAAATTTATTTTAATTGCTCGAACTATATTTACGAAAGAATCTGTATATAAAATGGCTAAAGTTCGATATTTAAGAATGGAACGTATACATGAAAATCCTCTTATGCAATTACCTATTCATACATCATTTATTGCACGTTTTACTATTGAACCATTATGTTATACAAGTTTAGCAACATATGCTGGAATTTTAAAAAATAATAATATATCATATTCATGTATATTAACAGCAGGATTTTTAAAAGGTGAAGAAATAACGTTAAATAAATTGTCGGATCATCATCAATTTTCTATATGTATTACATCGGTAGAGTTTGTTTTTTTTTATTGGATACGTTTTTGATGATAACTATAAGAGGTTTTTCTGTTTTCATTTGAAATTAGGAAACAATTATTTCATTATGTAATAAACAATTATCATTTATAATTGGTACTCAAGGTTTTGATGAAGTAGAATTTATTGTTCAAGATTTATTTATATTAAAAAATTGGATTCGAGCATTACAACAACATATTCTTGATATTCGTATGAATAAATGATTTTATTTTATTTTCTAAGATTTTTATTTAGATACTTGGGAATCAACTTTTGAGCATTTATCTTCTTCAAAACGTTATTCTTATCAACCATTAACTTCATTATCAAAAACTTCAATTATTGATAGAAGTTTAACAAAAGAATCAATGTTAAGAACAAAAGCTCTATCACTTGGTATGTTTTTATAATATTTTCTATTTAATTGTAAGGTTCATTTTGATCTAATGCTTGATTATTTCTATAAATTGAAATTCTTAAATTAATACAATGATCATAAGAATTGTTTTTGAGACGAACGGATTAGATATAGAATTATTACCATATCTAACAGTCATTTAATGTTAGATACTATTTAAAATACAAAAAAACACCCATCATCCTTTTCGATAATGAGAATTGTTGTGAAGAATATTATGTATTATTTGATATTTAACTGTTTTACGATTTAACTGTAACGAATACATCTAATGGATAAGTGTTTAGTTCCGTAAAGTTTGGATAAAGTCTGAGGAAATAATTCAATATGATAATGAAAAATTGTGTACAAGCTCTATTTTAGCAAATTGAAGTCTTTCATTTGTGCATTACCTTAAAACATGCTATTATTGAATTTAATTGATATAGAAAATTTATTTTGATCGTTAAATGATAAAAATAATGTAAAATATTAATGTATTACTTTAGATGATATTCATCAAACAAATATTTCTTCTCAATCGATGGTAAATAATACAATCGATCAATCAAATAATATAGATCATATTATTGATGAAAATGACATTTATCATGCATCACTATATCAAATACGTGTATAATTTTTTTTCTTCTGTATATGTTAATATAAAAAGAAAAACATCAATAGCTTAGTAATATTATGAGTTTAGATTATTTATTTATAAAAAAATAATAAACTATTGAAAAAAAGTATGAATATCATATAACAATCATTTAATTTTTACATTAAACAAATTGTTTCCAACGTTCTCTTTTTTTTTTCTTCATTAAATGAAGATAATAATCAAACAGAAATCGATTGAATAAGATATCAAATTTCAATATATATATATATATATGTATATTGAATCATTCTAATTTAATTGTATAGATAACTGATTTTTATTAAAATGAAATATGATCTCTAGACTCTATGATCAATTTTTTTGTTCCTTTAAAATACAAATTAATAATTTTTATTAGTTAAAAATTGACTTAAAACAAAATAGTCTTTCAAATAGTTCAAAACAACAAAAAAAAAGAATTTTTGAACTATTGAAAATATTTTTATAATATTCGTTTTGTAAATAACATGGAAGTTTTAATACAAAATGTTTGTTTATTCTGCAACCACTTAGTAGTAATTGTTGAAAGTCATAATTGTGTACTCTTAGCAAATATATGCTAACATTTGTTTTTCTTCTCTTAAAATTAATTAATTGTAAACAAATGTTTGCCAAAATCGAAAAATGCCTTTGAATACGATATTTTCACTCAAATTTTGTCATCTTTAAATAAGAAAAGTCATTCTATGTGCTTGTTTTTTAAGTTCAAGTTATCTCTATAAAAATTATCTTTTCATTTTTTTTTATTTTGAAATAAAGACAAGAAATCTGTTGCATCCTAAATGAAGGATTAAAGAGAAAAGGTAACTTTTAACAGAACATCGCTTTACATAGAAAGTAATTCTGAACAACCCGTCGATAACATTTGATTTAGGTTTAATTCAAGCTTATTTTTAATATGTAATGTTTTTTTTTAGAGAATTGAATGTTGTACAAAATGTTGAGTGAAACCTGTTTCGAAATACAATCTAGACAAACTGAGAATAGAATCAAAATTTTTATTTATTATGTCACAGTGGCTATAACTATCGCGTTTACCGTCAGTCAAATTGATTCTAATATCGAGTAGCATTAGCAAACAAAAAAAATCTTTGATAATGGCGTTTATCTTGGACAAAAATGCCTATATAAAAGAACACAGTTACCATACTTGGCAAAACCTTGATCATTAAACTTATCATCTTCAAACTCATCTCTATAAGAATAGAAAGCATGATTATAAGTATGAATACAAGCTACTTTGTCAAGATGCTTGGAATTGCGAAATTGTGCCTCATAAGGAGGATCATAAGCATATATGGGAATCTTTGGCCATGATTCTCTCCATCACAAATTGATCTTCATAACGGTTTCCATTTTCAAATGTCATAACTATGATTGTAACAATTTCATATCAGTTCAGTACTCATGAACTGTTTGATCAGTTCATACGAACTATTGACTGGTTCTTTCGAAATGAAACTGTTACAATCGTAGTCATAACTTTTTTGCCGTGACTCTTGCTATTTTTCAGTTCATGGTGATAACAACTGCCATCTGAATACTCAACCGTAGCAAGACAAATCTTCAAAAGATTTTCGAAAACAAAATTCACATCATGGTTTAGTTCAAATGCTAATAAACTTGTTGACTGTGAATGTGAGTAGAGACCTTGCTTTTATCAACAGCAACAGTGACTTCTGCATCCGCATCCAACACATTCACTCACACCCATATGGTAGAGGTTCAAGACACCGACACAAGAGTGGAAACATCTGAACGGATGGGATGCGAACTGTAAAGTGTGGTTGTAGAGATAGGATATCCATGTATAGGTGTCCATGTGAATGGAAACTAATGGTTGTAGATCTGTGGGTATCGCTTTAAATTTGCATTTTTATTCAACTTCACCCATATCCCATCGGAACCCATATTATCATCACCCACATCTACACTCTCAAATATGCTCATATGTTAGATTAATATGTTCAGTGCGTCAAAATGCATTAGTGGCGAAACTAATCCGTTTATGTACGTTCCTTTTTTTATTTGTCAATTAAATGAGTTACAAGACTCCGTTTTTCTTCTAATTTTGCCTTCAATGTGTTAGGACGCTGTTGTGTCATTAATTTGTTTGATTGGATGGTCATTGTTTTTACTCGGTTTTTCATGGCTAGTTGTTGAGGTATCTTGGTTTTCACTTTTTTCTAATATTGAACGAATACAACTATGCGTTGCAGCATTTTCAAAAGAATCCCATTGTTCATTTTGTGAATCATTTGTAGGAATCATTTCTATATGAATCATTATTATATACATGTGTTATAACTTTGACATAAAGAAGATTCTAAAAAACTTACTAAAAACACGTGTGAGCTTTTTTGACAGGGGTACATGATTGTCAGCAGTCACTTGATTTCGACCCAATAGTGAACAAAATTCACGATGAATAGTCAACAAAAGTAATACGACATGTGAAATAGCAATAAATGGGGGATAAGATAATGGTAAGCGTTCGAAATATTCTCGTACAAAGGAGTAACGATAATAACGCCAATAAAAATCTGTGTTGCCTTGAACGTGATCAATTGAATAGCTAGATTCAAAAATAAAATAACATTCGAAATGAAAATATTCATTCAGAAACATATTGAATGTGCTTATTGAAAAAGTCTACTTTTTTTGGTGATTATTTTGATAGAATCATCGAAAATAACATCATGCATCAGATGTAAGTCAGAATAAGAACAATGTTTGATAATAGCTAAGACTACGGCTGATAAAATTAATATAAAGAAAGTTCACATATTGTCAAATATCTTGTTATCAGTTATGAAACAGTGACTTCGAACAGAAAACGAATCAAAATTAAGATTCTACTTGATGCATTATTTAAGATTTGATTCATACATTACTATCAGTGTATTGCTTTCCTTACACAAAAAATGCATCACAGTGCGAAAAAAACTACAATACCTGGTAGGAGACTCAAAATCTTAACTATAACTTGCTAAAAGTTAATAGGTAGCTCGATAGTATAGCTATTTGGAGACAGTCGTTTTCCTCGAAGATATTCTAATGATTCGTCGACATTGGCATCGACACTGATCTATGAGATAAGAAAAAACGCTGAACAAGTGAAATATGAGCAGCGTTTCTCATTGTTATATATCTTTGTTTCATACTTACGCAAAAACGGCAGTTAGTAAACTGAGTAAAAGAATGTTAATAAATAACATATGAAATGCTAACAAAACATGTGTTGCCGTTGCTTCTGCAACATTTCCTGTTGCATTACTACTATTACTGTTAATTATGTCTAAATATTAAAAATACATAGATCCTTTTGAAATAAATAAAACAATGATCACCATCAAGTAAATTTTTATCCGATACATCTCCATAAAGAAGCCAATATGGTTCGTAAAAGATTTGAACAAAAATGCCACGACCAGTAAATGGTACTTGTTTATAAAGAATTAATGATCGAGATACAACTCCATAGGCAGCTATTGCTATAAAAATCATATAGACAAAAGCAAATAAGTCCCGAAGTTAAAATTTATATTAATATTTCAAAACTGATACTCTATTATTAATTTATTTCTTAACGAACCATATTTTTTAACATAAATAATTTTAGACCTAGAAATTTAACAGCAATAACAAATTTTAATGATCGAAGATACCATAATTCAAGATCAAGTGCCCAAATAATTCTAAAATACATACAATTCATCAGCAACTTTACAAAAGTTTCAACAAACCTTGCAGTAGTAAGTAAACTTTCACTATAACTACTATATCGAAAGCCAAGACCCAAATAGAAAAGAATATAAGGCATAATATAAAATACATTCGACAACACAGTTAAAAAAGCGGATCCAGTTGAGCCCCATCGTTCAGTCATTCGTGTATCATATTCATGATAAAGCTTTACATAACAAAACAAAGAAAAAAAATCTTTTTCGAGAAAGATCAATTAATTTTACTCTTCGAGCTTCTTCACAAAACATAGTTGAAACAGTAATAATCACAATAATTTCAGTCCAATGAGGAATAGTCAATGTATTTTGACCATCTAGATGATAAAGCATCATATAGCTGAATGCAAGTAAAAACCACACATAACTAATCTAAATTATTCGAAAATATCTTTATTTATTCTATAAAAAATAGTAAAATAGTAACATACAAAATGATAAGACATTTTTATCATTGAACTTTCATGAAAATATCGAAAACGTGTCCAATAATTAGTACATGTGTCTTGTTTTGAATGTTGTCTATCAACATAATAGTTTATACCTTCTTCAGATAGACTATAATACAAATAATTCATTTATAAAATATCTTTAATAATAATCAATTTCGACTCACGCATTATTTGCTGTATTCTAAAATAAAATATCTTGAAATCAACTACGATTACAAAAAAATTTTATTTCTTTGACATACATTCGTTGACTCTTCATCCTCCTCTCGATAACTGATGATCATAGGCGCTATAAAGCCAATAGTAAGAATTGAAGGAATTTGTAATAGTTTTGCTGTTGTGTGACGATTAGTCAAGAATAATTTATTAAACCATACTTGATTTAATGTTTGATCAAAACAAGCTGTTTTAACTAATTTTTTACTTTCACTTGAAATAGCAACCTAACAAAATGAAAATTCTTTTGATTGTCTTTTAATTTAATATCTAGTGTTATTAACCTGCATGCATGTAACATTACCAAAAAGTGGTATTTGTCGTAAGAGTAATTCACAAGCACATTCTTCACTAAATTCATAACATTTATCAATAATCATTGCAGCATACGTTTCAAAGTCTGATGATTGAGCTAAGAATTTTTCTTTTAAGTAAACTGTTTGAGATGATTTAGAATATCTTTTAAACACAGCTGAAGCAATAAGAGCAGCACAAATACGAGATCGAACATGAAGAAGTAAGATTTTAGCCAATTCAGGCATATCCATGAAAACAGACAATAAAAAAAAATCACGTAACACGTGATGTTTGGTATATTTGTTGTTTGCTTGATCGTTTCTTTCGTTATTATTATTTTCAACATGTTCATGGGATCCACAACAAGTACATACATGATTCTTCAAATCAATTTGAATACGATTCTTGATGTTATCATTTTCAAATGAATAAATCGGTCCAAAAAAAGAACCTACAAATTTGTTTAACTTATAATCAAGTTCTCGTATTGATTTAAGAGGTAATCTACCAAATAATGTTTTTACACGACTCTTATGACTCTGTAGTAAAAAAAAAAGATGTTTCGATAGAGAAAAACGAATTGATCGAAAAACTCACCGTATTCATTTCCTTATAAGTGTTGACATATAAGTCTGAAAGAACTTTTTGATAACTAGAAATATTATCTTTCTCGATTAAAGTTAATGGATCAAAACCAGCTGTTAAAAAATGTTCAATAAATTTTGAACGATTCTTTTCCAGAGATTTCAAGAATAGTTCATTTTGCTTTAAGAACAGCTTCTTTTGCTGGGAGAATAGTTCCTGTTGTTTTAACAACAGTTCCGTTTGCTGTTTTTTATCTTTCTAAAATAAATCAGACATTATGGGTAGTTAATACTTTTGATTATATCTATCACTTTACATATATGGAACAGTTGCTCACAGTAATAATTTCATGTACTGCTCTATATTGAAAGAACTTATCAAAGAATGTTTGACAATTAATGTTTCGTTAGATACATATATATGTCATATCGAACTGAACATATATATCATACCTATGGCTTGAAAAATATTTTTAAACAAGTTGTAACTTCTATAAGATACTTTATCGAAGTTGTTTTGATTAAGTTAAATCAGCAAAAACTATATGTTTAGATGATATAATCAGAATGATACTTTGAGTAAATACTCAGCTGAATAATAGACATTGTTTTCTAGAAAAGCAGCTGTTAGCTTAATTCCTGTGAAATAAAACTGTGGCAGTCACTCTCGCTGATCCTGCTAACTAGAAAAATATTCTTCTATTTTACGTATTTTGTAACACTGTTCTTGATTCTACTTTGACTTAATCCTCCAGAAATGCATTAATAAAGAAGTTTAAATGTTATCACAAGACACGATGGAAATATGATTTTTGTTGTTATGTCATTAATGTCTAGCATAGTCTGTAAGGGAAAACGGTAAGTGCAAAGTTCTACTGTATATACTTCAACACTTCTTTTACATCTAGTATCATAAAACCAATGGCGTACAAGATCCTATTTGTAAGAAGGTAAAAAATTACTAATAGAAGATGAAAGTTTTCAATGACTCGAATTTTATATTATCATTCCTAAAGTATGATATTTTTTATCGGTTTCAAGTAGAAAAATTTCAGATATTGTCGAATCATGAAAGCACAATGAAGAGTTTTGTATCTAGTTGGATATGAAAAGAGGTTGCCCATCGAACTATGACATCGTATTTATAGCCTCAACGTTTAACCGATTTTAAGTTTTCTGGGAGGAATTAGCCGTGTGCTAAACACTTACGCTATATAGCTGGTTAATAGCATATTGAATTGTATAACACCTGTTAAAAAGTTGTCTTCATTTCAAAATCAACTGAGCGATCATGCATTATAGGTCTTTACTATACAATTTACAAGAAAGTTTATGGGTCAATTAAGTACCATCTTTCTGTACTTTGTTTCGAATCATGACGTGTTAACACTTGCAATTACCTTTCTAACTCTTTTAATATCTGCTTCCAGGACGATACAAATTTTAATAGGATATAAAATAACAAAGCGTCTTTTCTTACATTCTTGCAACTAACACCTTCCACACCATTACTTTTATAAGAAGATTTGTCTATTATTGAGTTGAATATTTACTTGAAATATGATTCTGATATACCATCCAAATATGCATTTTATACTCGTGTAATTCAATTAACACAACTTCAATAAATATAATTATTTTCACATGACCGATATACGTATCTGTACACAATGGTTTGCAAAAAATCGACCTTGTCATTTTTTCATACTTTTTTTTTTAATATTCATTTACTTCTACTTATTCGAGTTGAATATTATACAACGAATATTGCTTATTGGTTTATTTTGACATTATTTTTATTGAGTTCCATAGAAAGTAAAGAATCTTAGTGTTATATTTCTAAGTTACACAAAGACATTGCACTAATTGTAAGAAACTGTTTCTTATCTTTTTTATCTATTTATGTCATCCACAAATGTTCACTTAGCTTTTCTCAGTATGAGAAGTAGTTTCTACAATCCTTCGAATTTTTTTATAGGAATCTTCATTTATCTCGAATTTTATTTTCAAGTTTTATCTACTTGTACCTTTGCTATAAAACGATTAAATTAATTTCAAAGTTCTTTTGTTGTGCTCATTACTGAAGATACTGGCTTTTTGTTTTTCTGATTGCTAATACAACACTTAATGGTAAGACTGTTATATTATCATATCAATTTTTCAGGTGACTTATAACCGTGGCGGTTATAACTCGCATATATCTCTTTAGAATAGATAAAAACAATATCAAATTCATTATGCATTATTAAGCCATGATAAAACTAACAAAAATAATCAATCGTTTGAGAACAGTTTTGAAAAACATTAGAAGAAGTTTTCTTTTCAAAACTACTGTCAATACATATAATATCATACAAGTTCATACTATACTGCTTAAAATGAGATATATTTTTCTGAATAAAAACAGATGAGATAGAAATATAAAGTGAGGCATGTATTAAATAGCTAACAACATCGAACCTACTGAGACTTCTATTTTTAAGTTGTATAGTTCTTATTCAAACTTCTCGGGGTTTCGATCATGTTTTATCGAAAAAGAACGAGCTTTTATTTGAAAATTTCATCGGAATACTAATAATATTTCGTATCAAGAATTTCATGGTAATCGATTTGAATATAAGCATGACACTAAATTCAACAGTCAAACACTCTTATTAGCAATGTAATATTAAACATGATTAGTCCGAGTAGTGCAACTGATAAGTGTATGACGAATTCACATCGATGATCAGTTTTCATTCTATTCAAATGGTTTTATGATAATATTGGATTGTCATATCGACAACTAGCCATTATCAAAGATTTATAATGTATTCAATGACTTCATCGTTTGCTTTGCTGCTGCATGCTTTGTGTTAGTGAGCAAGTGTTTTTCTTCACGGTCTTACCTTTTCGGAATCACGTTCTGTCTTCATACTTTTACTTTGTATCCGTATAATTTCATTACGTATTTCCATCATTTCATCTTGCTGCGCTAGTAATATTGGCAAAGCACCATCAAAATAATTCCATTCAAGTGCCAAATGTACTAGTTTATCTTCGTCTTTTGAACGTTGTTTATGTTCATCTTTTGGAAGTTGTGTTTCTTGCCCCTGTGATTCATTCTTAGTTTTTTGACCATGTTCTAATTCATTTTTCTTCTTTGTAACTATGAAATAAAAATTTATCAATAAAAAAATATATTTGTAAACACAAATACTGGCAAATATAGCCTTGAAAATAGTTTCATCTACATTTTTATCACGATTCATACAGAAAACATATAATAGATAACGATTTTCTTCTTGTAAAATTTTTTGAATTCGTCCTTTTGCTGTAGACACTTCTGAATTTGGAACACTAGGGAAAAATCGACGAAGAACTTGTTCAATTTCTTGTTCCGATGGATTCCTGTTGAAGAAATATCTAACGTAAAAACAAATACTATACCATATTTCATTACCGATATTGATTTCGATCCGAATTTGATGTCTGTTCGACTAGCATAGCAAGTAAATCGGCTAAACGGCCACTACCCTATATTTAAATGACTGGTTAGATCGAGAAAGGCAGGCGGATTTCAACAGAAAAACACCAGCAACCGATGGAAATTAGAAGCAGTATTTCAGATCGGAGGCTCTCTGAATTTTTCTAGTGACTTCTGACTAACTTCCTTTTTTTTTCTGACAGGAATCTGTCGTAAGCCATCAGAAAAACATGCTGAGCCTATTCAGGCCGGAATTTTGCTTCGATGTCCCATGGGTTTCCGGTGTTTTCGTATCGAATATAATGATTTCTCGCGCATCTTTCCGACTAGTTGCAGGAAAATCCGATGGTTTCCGAAGCCGAATATCATCAATCCGAGTGCAATACAATAAAAATAAGTGAGAGTTTTATAATACGAACTTGAATCAGAACAATTGGTCGTTTTTCTTGAATATCATTTTCAAGAACTTCAAGGCTACCTAAACCTCCTTCGACGATAATTGTTACGGCGTAACCTTTGTACATATATATATATATATTCAATAGATTTTGATGATATTAGGAAAATTTTCACGGAAGTACATACATGTATGATCATTATTACTGTCATTTTGTTTCTTTTTATCGTCATCTTTATCTTTATCCTTATCTTGGTCTTTGTCTTTACAAGCTTCCATAACAAATTGATGACGCTGCGAATCACTGAGATATTCGTACAGTCTACCACTGTCGAATAAAATACAATGTGTATGATTTTTTTTCGATTGTCTCTTTATATTCTTCAGCATTGTCTGGAATTTGTCGCTCACACAGTGGTGATGGAAGTCCCTATAAAACGAAAACATCTTTTGCATTTTAAATTTCTTACAAGTATTCCTATTATTTTACGCTTGATGCTTTTTTAAGCTCAAGATGTGTATCTTCATCCATTGTACCCCACATTGTCATTCCAATACATTTCACTTTATTCGCATATTCCTGTAAGAGACGATATTGTGAAATACCTTCGCCAACCAATTTCGATATACCATTGTTGACGCCAACAGTAAGAATCCATGCATCTAAATAGATCTATATTAACATAATAATATTCAAAACACATGAATTATTTACTGGCCATAGTAGCAGCATGAATGACACCTATTATAAATTCTTTTTCACGTAGGCGAGTCATAGTAGAGTATTTGACGCCACCATAAATACTTAAGATGAGAGCTGGTTTCTGTCCTCCACAATCTTCGAGAATGAACTGATATAAATCTTTCATTGGTAATCGACTATCTATTCGAAGAAATTTACAACCAGTAGGTTTCAATATTCCATATACGTTGATAGGCACTTCGACAGAATATTTCATGTCGAGAAATTGATTTTTAGGCTTCCATTCAGTATTTCCTTGGCTTCTCTCTTTGAATTCCAGAGATTCATCAGTGAAACTATGACGACGAACCATGCGACCACAAGGACATAATTTATCTGGATTGTCAGGAGACTTTGACTGAACATTGTAGACTTTACAGGTGCGTGATTTGAAT